TCCAAGTAGCAAAAAGTGTTTTATTATAGGTTGACTTAGATGTATTGCCTCACTTATCATATATTATGCCATACATAAGAGCCTTATTAGTCATAATGATTTTAAAGTACATTAACTACTGTGGACTAGAATACCAAATTCTGCCTTTACAAAATTGAGTTTCTCCAACTTGATGTTGAAGAAAGACCTTTTAAGGCTCAAGTCAGAGGCCATGTCTCTTACTATCAATTTTGCAAGAACAACATAAGCTTGCAATTTAGAATCAAAGACTTTCAACCTCTTATGTACCCAAGTCTGGATTATAGTTTACTAGTGAATTTTAGCATGTATAGCCCATGTGACAATGTCAAATTATAGGTAGTTTCATATTAGTACTTTAATTTTTTTAAAGACTTTAGATTCTATAAATACACAAGAAGTTATATACCATATAGACGCTAGGATTACTTGATTGATAATCATAATTTTTCTTGTAAGTGAGAGTTGCTTGGATCTCTACTTAATGAGGTGTAAGGTAACTTGTCAAGTTATTTTGATTCCATTCTCTTTTGGTAATATATGAAATCCAATAAAAAATCCTAAATATTGCATTGTCGTTCATCGTTGTATCCATATGAAACCTTGTTGTTGTTTCCATTCAAAGTCTTTAGTTCTCTATAATGCCTATATTGCTGCTATTTTATGCCAATTGATTTTTGTCCTTGAAACTTGATAATAATTTTCTAATGCATTTATTATTTTGTTCAAGTTCTTGAGATTTTCTTTTAGGAATAAAAAAGTATTATCAACAAACATAGAATTGAAGTGGCAAGATTGATCAAGGAAAGTTAGCCCTTCTATTCTATTATTTTTATCATCTAGCATGTAGCCTAGAGCGTTCATAACAAATAAAAAAAAAGTAGGGAACTAGAGGAGAACCTTGACTTACTGATCACTTCAATTTGAATGGTTGATAATGTTTACCATTGATTCTTATCAATACTGTAGCTTTTATAATGAGTGCCATAACTCATTAGATCCATTTTGATGAAAAACTTATTTGTTTCATAGTATCTTGTAGAAAAGTCCAACTAATTCTATCATAAGCTTTTTTGAAGTCTAAAAGCATTAATATTAAAACTTTTTAATTTTCCTCTACATAAGTCATTGCTTCAAAGGCAATGAAGATATTATCAAATACACATCTTTAGTTCACAAATCATATTTGTGATTTACATATCTATGTAAGTAAGTTTTATACTAGGCAATTGACAAATAAATTTGCTATAATTATATAAATGATATTGAATACACACATTAGATGGTAATTAGTAATTAAGAATAGATTCCTTGTTTTAGGTATTAGAACAATCTTCTTTGTATTGAGTTTTGTAGAGAGGATGCTTTAATTGAAGACTTCTTTAATTAGTGCCACCTCATTGTTATTCATGTCTTTTCAGCATACTTAGAAGAATTTAGATAGTATCATATCAATTTAAGGTGCTTTCTCTCTTAGGAGTCTTGATGTGGCTATTTTTACGTAAGCTTTTGTAATCTCCTTTTCTAATTTTTGTATTTTAATCCTGTATTAGTAATCTAAGCATGCTTTTGAGATATTATTTTTGAGCTTCAATATTATCTTCTACTAAGTTATCTCTAGTATATAAATATTTATAATATTCTTGGATATAAATGACTATATTACTTTGATACTTCAAGATATGTCCGTTTATATTATACTATCTTATGCAAATCTTTTAATGTCTTGTTCCATGGTAATAGAAGAAGTCCGCATTACAACAATCTCCTACTATGATCCATTTAGCTCAAATAGAGGTAAATTGCTTCTTTAGCTTTTTATATCTAATTTATTGAATTTTAATTTGTATTGAGTTCAATATTTCCCTAGCCTTCAAATCATGCTAATTTTCTTGTAGTTCTAATTTTCTTGTGAGTAATTTTATGAATTACTTTTGATATTGTTAGTTCTAGGAATAATAAGTAAGAGTCATCAAAATAACTCATTCGGATATTTAGTACAAAAAAAATACAATTATTATGCTTAAAATCACAATATATAGTGAATAATATAGAAATTCTTAGAAAAAAATAAAATAAAAATATTTATTGTAGAAATGGAGTCTTAATAAGTCTTGGAGGCAATTATCTTAGTTAATTTAGTATTTTTACTTATTATTGAGTATTAAAGATTATTTTTTAAGATTAATATCTATATTGGCTTTCTATCCATATGTATTATTTATAAAAGATCATAAATATTAGTTAGTAGTTAGAAGAAGCATAAAAAAAAACATCATGTCTTTTTAATCATTGATATAAAAAATGAGATTTATAATTGATTTATATTGATTTTATTACTATGAAAAATTAATAAGATAAAAAATATATCATTAAATTTATATTAGTATTAAAGAAATAGTATAAAAAAATAGAATTTATTTAGAATATTTTAGGAATTTTTAGAGTAATTTTCAAGACTTAGATAGACATGAGTTTTACCACATTGGGAGATATTATAAAGAAATAGAGCAAGATTTAAAGATCACACAAGGTTCACAGGATAATTGAATGCAATTGAATATCATGGTGAAGTCAAAAATACAAAAATATTGGTTTTACTAGTAGAAAATAGGAGGACCAGCAGTTAGTGTAATCTTTATAAGAATGGAAGTGCATAAGTTCTATATAGATTGTAGTACCTTGAATGTAATTAGGAGGATAAGACTAAGGCCTTATAGCCTCTTTTAGAGATCCATATACACTGCATGTGAGCCTTTTTGAGGCTCAAACTCTTGACCTATAAGCAAGTTATTTTTGAAATAAAATATTTTTACTTAATTTTTTAATTATTTGCTTATTATTTTAAAACTTTTATCACTTATTCATGTAACTAGTAACTTGAATTTATATGTTTCTTACATCATTGATAAGATAATAAAAATAACTATTTAAATTTTTATTTTTTACTTTTTATTTGGTAAAAATCCAATGAACAGATTATGATTAAGTATTGAAGTGTATATTTGCTTGAATACACTCCTTTTACTTGTTTTGTGGTTGTACTTCTTTTATTCTTGTTATTTGCTTGTTTTACTTCATACCACCAATTACAAACAATTTTTAATTGAGGTCATCTTGTAATTTAGATTGAGGGGTGAAATTTACCCTCACATTTTGGTATGTCTATTGGAAGATTGTGCTTCTAATTGTGTGTGTGAATCTGGAATTAGTTAATTTTGATTGACCTTTTATGTGGACTTTTTAAGTGAGCATTTCAAATCTATTATCCATCATTGGTAAGTCTTCTACCTCTCTTCATTGTTGTTGTAAGCGAATCTTTTTTAATTTTATAGTCAAAAGTTATTTTAAAAAAAACAAACAAACAAACAGCTAGGGGACCCTCAGAGGCATCCCATTTCGGCAAAGAGTATTGAATCCACATGCAAATGTAGATTTCCCGCCCATCTTCACCTACAAACGAGGAGGAGTTACGTTTGCGAAGTGGCCATAAAACTGACTGAACTGTAGCCTCGGAGCATTCTACCAACTGTTTTTTGGTGATGGTTGAGAGGATCCGAGAGGCTTTGAAGGCGAGGGAGGAGGTGTCACGCAGACAGTGAGCCATCCTGGACCCGATTCCGACACCGTTTTTTACAGATGGAGAACCCTCCGTGTCCTGCGAAAAAGTGACATTCGAGCGGCCTGTTAATCCAGCGAGCAATACCAAGTCAACTGTGTTTGAGCCCTACTGCATCACGAGCAGGCTTGCGGTGAAGTCGCAGCGCGGGGATTGTTTTCGCCGCACCGCAATGTGTACACCTCGTCTTTGGTGTCCCTTGTAAATGAACACGAACGATGAATTGAACAGTACGGAGTGGGAAAGGTGTCAATTCACCTAACCCACCTACGGATATGCGCCTTCAGATTAATGCAACATTTTTGTCACCATTCACGCATTGCTGCAAAGCTTTTGATTCAGCTTGGGAGTGCTCATGTTCCTCTTCCCCCAGTTCATATTACGCCACACGTGTACCTCATTCTTTTAATCCAAAGCCTCTAACACAAGTCAAAGCTTTCCGAAAAGCTTTCTCGTGGAGATATCCAGGACCAGGGGGTGTGTCCGATCAAGTACGGCATCCACGAATTTCATTGCTCCGATGACGGAGAACAGCTCAAGGATCAGCTCAAAACCCATATTTGCACAAACCAAGTGGCAGCACCACCATGAGCAAAGTATCTCGGGATCAAGTCCACGGTGAAGTGTATCCCCGCCAAGACACACACATACAGGCTTTCTATGAGAGACTTGTGCCACTAGGAGGTGAACAACAGAGCGCTTCACTTTTCCGCAAAGGCGGAATCGGCAGGATGCGGTGTCATGGCCGTGAATTGGCCATCAGAGAAGTGACAAGTGTTGCTTGCCGACTTACGAGGTCGCCCCGACTGAGTTCGGTGGAGATTCAGTAGATGCCCTCCCCCTCCATCTATGAGGTTTCATCCAAAGAAAACATTATACAAACAACTCATACGAATCAATTATTTTTCTTGCATACCTTGCACTAATTTTACATGTTTCCTGATCCATGAAAGATTCCAGCACCAACCCAAGGTCAAAAATTAAAATACCCACCGAAGCCACATGAACAGTAGAATAAAAACACACCAATGATATAGAGATGGAATTTTAAGAGCACATCCTTCTAGTACTAAATTGAGAATGTGTGGAATAGTGAACTTCAAAAGCCGTTCAATACCTCCATTAATTGTTATTTTTGCACTGTAACAGATTATGCTAGAAATATGGAATGGAGGTAAATTAACAATGAGTAAACCTGTTCCACATCCACCGAAATGGAGGTAGTGTAGGTGCCAGCTCCCGGGGGGGGGGGGGGGGGGACTGAACGCCCCACGTGAAAATGATGAGTTGAGGAAGAGGAGGTTTTCATTGGTAGCTCACGCCTCCACCTGCCGAGTGTCTGCTCCAGCGAGGAGACCTCCACGTTGCATGGGGCTCTTGCGGGTCGGTGCTGGAGTTGCGCATCTCTCAAAGCCGCTTCCATAGTCCCCTCTCAACCTCACACTTCCCATTTCCTGCTGCGAGCAGTGGTTTCGCAGATCCCGCCAGCAATTGATTCCATCCTGCTGCCGCTGTTTACCCGGTCGTTCGTGTTCCTGGCATCGATCGGCTGATCTTTCTCACGTCTGTGCTATACTACAGCTGTTCTTATCACCGTTTGAAGGTGGTTGTGAGTAGTTAGCGCGGTGGGTGTTTAGGAATGTGGAAAATAGCTGAGTGGGGAAGCTGAGAGTCTGTAAACCTTGGCTCGATTCGATCTTCTTCTGGATCCTTGTTGAAGCTGTCTAGACTTTGTGTGGTGATGGAGACGGTTGGGTTGTTAGACGAGGCTGTTTGCTGATTTTATATTAGTCGCGCGAGTGTTTTTCAATGCTTGAAGTTTTAAGTTGGTACTTGATTGACAGGTAGTAGTATGTTGTGAACATAACGGGTGGTCGATTCACTAGACATCAAAGTATCGAACTTGAACACACTGTTGAATTGACAGCTGAGGGTAGAGAGTTGGACGCAGCATGGCGACCCAGTCGTCGTTCATTACGTCATTGGTGACCTCTTTAATCGTCTTTCTCGTATTGTGGCTAGTCTATGCAATACTTTCTCGTCGACCCGGGAACGCTGTGATTTACTACCCTCTTCGTGTACTACGGGGTGAAGATGGGCCAACAGTGGCTAAACGCCGCGGTGGAGCATTCGCATGGGTCAGAGAAGCCTTCAAAGCGAAAGAAGATGACATAGTCGCTACAGCCGGTTTAGATGCAGCAGTTTACATGCACCTCTTCACCGCAGGTATGTTCTGTTATTTCGCTCGAGAATGCCGTAGTAAATAAAGACCTCGCTGTCTTAGATTGTATGGAGTGCTCTCGTTTAACATTCAAGAGCTTTGCAGATTTTCGATACATGAAATTCTTGAAATTTCTTAAACAGCCTGATAGTGGGCTCCATCATCAATACAGTGTAAATCCTGTATTGACAGACAGTTGTTTCTTCAGTTAGGTGGTTGAAGTTGACTGGCAATCTATGTCTTTAAATGCAAATGGTGACGCTAATCATACATTCGCCGTTTTTCTGTTCAGCTTTTCAGATAATTCTGATCTCGGCCATATTTTGCTTGCCAATCTTACTTTCCCTTGCGGGAACAAGCAATTATAATCAACAGCAACGGATGATGGATGGAAATTTCACATACACCAATATCGACAATCTGGGCATGGGTAACATTGAGGTATGCTATTTTCAAAACCATGATACTCATCCTCGTTTCAAGTACAACTCGATGCAAAATGCAAATAAACCAGAGGGTGATTCTTAGCTACTACGATGATTATGGGATTAGAGCTCTTGTTCAAGACACGTTCTTCTGTTCTTTCTGTACACTCAAACGTGGTCGTGGAATTGGAACAGCCACAAAGTTCGAAGATATGGGCTTTCATGCTTGGAATGTTCTGGGTTTCTCTCGCCACGTACTACGTTTTGTGGAAATCCTACCGTCGTGTTGTCTACATGCGCGACAGGGCGAATGCCAATGCAGCTGCTCGCCCCCAGCAGTACACTGTTCTGGTCAGAGATATTCCGAAGCCGGTCGGCAAAGAGAGCAGAACTGATCAAATAGTCAACTTCTTCGCCAGAGTTCATCCGGGTGTTTTCAGTCGCGTGCAACCTGTACATGACATCAAACCGGTGAGTGTTCAATTTGAGGTTAAACTGGCTGAAGCTACATGTCTCGCCATTTCGAAGTGGCTTTTTAACAAGTTAAACTTGGACGCCTGAAGTTGGTTTTGGTTCCTGAAATGACATGTCTTGATCGAGTTCTGTGTCTTGGATAGGCTGGGAAGATATTCAGTGACCGTGAAGACGCATTGCGGAAGCTCGAGCACGCCGAAGGTGTATGGGAGATATCAAAGCAGAAGGGTGATGGTGCTGGACAACGCCCAATGCACAAGACCGGGTTTATGGGCCTGTTGGGCCCCAAGGTCGACTCCATCGACTACTGGCGAGCTAAAAGCCAGGAAATGAATCCACAACTGGAAGCTGAGCAAAGACACACACTCCAAGAAATGCAACAGGCAGCTGCATTCGTCATTTTCAGTGACCGGCGCTCTGCTGCTGAAGCTTCTCAGGTGCGGTGCTACGAATGCTTGTCGACGTTGCATAATGTTCAAATGCCATTTGTATCGCATTAAACATGGACTTTATGTTTATAATAACATGTAACGTTTCATGTTCTATGGGTATACTTCGCAGGTGGTGCATGCTCCTCATGCTCTGAGGTGGAGAGTTTCTCAAGCACCAGAACCCGAAGAGGTAGTTTGGAAAAATCTACATATACCTGCATGGCAGCGCGCCATTCGAAGAGGCGTCGTCGCTGTTCTCACATTTCTCTTAATTGTGTTTTACATGATTCCTATTTCATTTGTTGCGTCTCTCACAACACTCGAAAATTTGGAGGAACTTCTACCCTTCATCAGATCCATTACCCGGATCTCAGTCCTCGGAAACATTATCCAAGTAAGCGCTGCATTTGAAAACCGGATGTATTTGTGTATAAGTACTCTTATCGTTTACTATTTACTGTCAGTACACATGCTTGAATTGCCTTTAAAAAAGATCGGAATGTTCAAACGCAAATTTTGTTTGAAGTCTATGTAACGTATGCGTATGTGGGATGATTTGCAGGCATACTTACCCCAACTAGCTCTGATCCTCTTCCTCGCATTGTTACCGCATATTTTGATTCTCCTGTCGAGGCTCGAGGGATTCCCAGCACAGTCTCAAATAGTGCGATCAGCTTCAGCAAAATATTTTTATTTCGTCATATTCAATGTGTTTCTGGGAGTGACCATCTTCGGCGCCGTCTTCTCTAATCTCAGCAGTTTTCAAGTCCTTTTAGATCAGTCTAATCTGTCAGTTAGCAGAGTGGTGCAACTTTTGGGTTCAAAGTTGCCACCAGTTGCCAGTTACTTCATCACTTATGTTGCTCTCAGGTAATTCACTGTACTCTTAGCCGTTCTGTTTTGATTGAAACTTTGCCCGAGAATTATTTAGCCATCATATCAAGGTTGCATTGACGGCGTTATCATTGACTATTCGTAATCTAATATTTTATCTGTATGCTTTGGCAGGTTTTTTGTTGGTTACGGTTTGGAATTATCACGAATTATTCCGTTCATCATTTTCCACCTCAAGCGCAAATTTAAGTGCAAGACTGACAGGGAAGTAAGAGAAGCGTGGGCACCTGGGGCATTCAAGTACCACAAAAGTGTTGCAAGTGACATGCTCATTCTTACCATTACTCTTTGCTACGCAGTCATTGCACCCCTGATCCTAATCTTCGCCGCAGCGTACTTCGGTCTCGGATGGTTAGTCATGCGTAATCAGGTCAGTTCACTTACTGAACAATACTCGCTGATTGCTATTCATCACTAATTGCTAATCGTATGCTCATGTAGATGCATTGTCGTTGTCTCCTGTAGGCTTTGAACGTCCATGTTCCCGACTTTGAGAGCCATGGAAGCTTTTGGCCGCACATCCACAATCGTGTTCTGGCAGCCCTGTTCGTTGCTCAGATTACTGCTATTGGTTACTTTGGAATCAAAGAGTTCCCATTTTCGCCCTTCTTGATTGTTCTACCCATTCTTACTGTAGTTTTCTATATGTTCTGCAAGAAAAACTATTATCCATCGATCAAAGTGGTGTCCTTGTACGTGGCGGCTGACGTTCCCAAAGCTCAGCCATCTGCCGAAAGCATTGCCCATACGTATACGCCTGTTCCTCTGCAGGAGGGACATCCGGGTATTGTTGATAGACGATCAAACTTAGCTACCAAAATTGATAGCACTGTTAATGCGGTTGTTTAGATTCTCCAACTTCCTTTTAGGTACTTCATGTATGACAGTGGAGCTCTCTTTTTACTGGAGAGATGTGCTTTATTTGCGTGCGATGCCAGAGCGCGTCTTGGTCAGATTTATTTGCCGCAATAGACAAGTGAGATTTAGAATCTGCTGTAATTTAATGTACACACGCTTAGGAGAGGGTAGTCTTATAGTTAGCAAATAGACTCATCAATGGCAACTTGAAAAGCCGACGTCTAGTGTAGGTTAGGGAGTGGCCAGATTGTATATTGACGATCTATGTATCCTGCCATTCGTGAAAAGATTTGTGTTCAGTTTCTCTCTTGCGTGAACGGTGTAATGGTGGTTTTGATCTTATGAGAACTAACTATAACACTTCTCTACCAGTCTATACCATTTCCGATTACGTCAGGCAAGGTACACACCAGATGAATTCTAGGTCATTGCATCTGGGTTACTTGTGTTGTGTCCCACGCTCTAACGAATGTATTATCCTCTTGGGCATTATATTACGTGCTAGCATAAATCAGATAACGCATGTTCATGGGTAATTTGGCACCATGTTGTCACCGGACACTTTTGGAACTAAATGCAAACCTGGAATGAAAAATACTAAACATTCTGTGTAAAATACTGTGCAGTTTCTCCATGCATCTTCTTCATGTGGTTGGGCACTCTTCTAACAGGCTGAAAACCTTTTGGACAGACTTGAAATCTGGCTGCAAATGAATACTCTAACAACTTCCTGAAAAAAAATTACTTCGTAGAGCGTACCATGTCTAGACTAAAAAGAAAAATAAACAAATGAGGCGCTCTAGTTGTAAGCTGTCATATTAATAGACGGGCCGTTGTGCTCACCGTAGCGATCGTCTCCTCCTCGATACGATCGCAATTTGTTGTCTTTGCTTTCAGCCTTAGCTTGGAAGACGTAGTATAACAGACTGAACACCATTGTCAAGAATGTGAAGGCGGCCCCTGCAGCAAAGATGGCCTTCTTCATTTGCCTACAGTAATTCTCATTTTCACCCACAACTCCAATGTCGACTTGACCTTTTGTTCGGATATTGTTCACAACTGCACCGTAGAGTAGAATTATCTCAGAAACGATGAAAGTAAGCCTGCAACAACCAAGCCAACCTTTTCTTTGAGTTCAAAAGCCGCAGACTACTTGTGACGATAACAACGAACACAGAAAAACAAAATGAGATCAGAAAGTCGATCCACGTTCATTCCTCCCAAAACGTGCAGGGCAGTGACCTAATGCTTGAAAATCGCCTGGTTCTATTTTAAGAAAAACACATGAAGTATTGAGAATGTCTGAAGGGTCTTACCAGGAGAATATAAAGAGGAAAATTGCACAAACTCGTGAAAAGCCAGCGTTGTAAACAGCTTTTCCAAAGCACATGCAGCTAGTAACGACAGTGACTAGCACATGACCAAAGAAGAGAAAGACAAGAGCCAAGGCTGCTAGACCAGTAGCTGTGTCTTTCGTGTACTCACAAGTGAGGTACCCAGGAACAGCATCAGTTGGTTTTGCCTGCAGAAACCAACATGATTTGAAGGTGAGCGAATGTATAAATAATAACCATTTGCACCGAACAAGCGCACTTTGATTTGGCAACTGTCTCTCAAATCAGACCATTGCCTTGAGAGAAAAATAATTACACTTATGCCCTCGATGAACTCCGAGGATGAGGGTGAATTATCAACAATGTTTTACTTTATTTTATCAAAAAGAAAGTTTAAAGTGTGGTAAAAAAGGGAGGATACTGGTCATAATCAGTCTGCTGACTATCATGACTAAAGAGACCCTATTTCACTACTTGAAAGATCTGACTCCCCAGTATGCGTGCGGATGTTGGAATCCGTTGATACTCTCTTCACTAATTTACTCCTCGAGGATACTGACAGTCCTTTCCTCTTATTATAGACATCCAATCCATTCAACCTTAAGCAGCTACACATGCATTCGACTTGTGGGGAAGAATTGTCGATGCATAATGCAGCGACCCGATCCGTAACATTGGTATGTACGAAGAGGAATATCAAACTGACCTTACTGCGCTTAGCCATGGCGCCCAAGGCAAGCCCAAAAGCAGTGATGTCGAGAATCAACGCTACGCCCAATACCGGCCATGAGAACCTCGCCATGGTGTAGGTTTATGCGCAGCACACAACTCTTCCGCTGCATTTACACAATCCAATTGAAACTTCCTCCAGAAACTCTATGCAACTTGATTCAACACCCACACTACAACATCCATGGAGCCGATTCCGGCTTAATCCAATCAACCCAAACCAAAACGTACACTCACGTATGCAAGAGCAGCAACCTCGTCCTCACGGCACAACCAAGCACTCAACACCGTTTCACCTGATGCCTCCCTCGTCTTCCGTCTCCTCCCTCGTGCCAAACCCGAAGCAACCCACTTCGCTATCTCCAGCCGCTCAAAATTATTCTCACTCCATGCATGCAGCTTCACAACAGCCAAGATGCAAGTCACTGCAGGTTATGGAAGGCTCAAAAAAACATGAAATCAAGAGCTGCATTTTCCTACACTGTCTCCAATTAACATCCACCCAGCTTCTGAATCACTCAGGCACTTGTTTTGCAATGCTACTAGATTGCTGTGCTGTAGAAGTGAGTTGGGCGACAATGATCGGCAAGCACTTCGGCGATGAGGAATGAATGTGCTGGTTTTCCAGCAGCAGCAACAATTATTGATTGAAACTCCCTCTCTGGCCTCTAAAGAGGAAGCTGCTTCACCTTTTTTCCCTCATTCGTCATGCTCCGTTGACGAAGGATCCGCTCGTTCTTTCGTTCGTTCGTTCGTTCGTCGGGTGTTCTACGTCCACGTCCATGTAACTGAGATTCACAATAGAATACATACTTTTTCACTCCTGAAAAGGAAAAAAGTGGGTAGAGAAGTCGTGGGAATACATAATAGCTGTCAACCAAAGTTATGTGATTTGTTGATAGCGTTTCTTTGTTGGAGAACCATCTTTTTTATAATAATGAAAATGAAACAATGAAAAAGAGATACAATTTCATAAGTGTGAAAATGTGACAAAAAAGAAATGTGAAAAAAAAATGAATCATATTATTGCTGGTTTGTGGGACATTTATAAAAAATCGCTATTAGAAAATTAGCTAGATATATATATATATATATATATATATCAAGTAAAATTTCATAACATGTTTATATATGTATGTCTGTATATGGCGGTTTGTAATAGTAGTGTCCAAAAATTTAAGATTTTTTTTTTTGTTTTTTTATCCAAACTTCATGAATCGCATACTTAGCTCTTTCTTTTAGTTATCTTTTGATGTGACATACTTATGCCTCAAAATGTACATTAACTTTATCCCGATAATTAAAATTTCGAATAAAGGATCAGTGTGTTATAACTTGATCTGATGATGAAAAAAATTATTAAAGAGCATAGAATTGAAAAAAGTGTGAAAAAAATGATAATTTCACAATCCGTGGATTATTTGAAAATCCCTCTAAAATCACAACCTAGACAATCAATGAAAATAAAATTTGAAATAGCTCCCTGCAAAAGAGCAACAAAGGAGAGACGAATAAGTGTAAAATCACAATACATGAAATTAGTTAATCAGGATAATGTCTGTTTTTTCCATCAAGGACAAACAAACAAAACGGAATCACATTCACACTGCACAAAGTGGGACCGTGCATCCCGACCTACGACCGTGACCGAACGGCACGGTAAGACGATCCGAATCCTAAATACAAAAACCCAAAACCCATGAAAGGCGAGAGAAACTGCGACGTCTGTGCCGGCCCGAGTAGGAGGAGGAGGTTGGAAGCATTATCCCCCAATTCATTCCTCTTATGCTGCTACTTTCATGGATAATACCGCAATTGCATCGCCATTCCGCGATTGATTGATGCTGTCCCCAGCTCAGATATAGCAATTTTGTTCCTTGAGTATGTTGCCGTGTTTTACCTCTGTTTCGTCATATCCTTATTGTGGTGTCAATGCGTGCTGAGCCTTGCGTTTGCTTTAGCAGAGTGTGAGTTTCGGATGTGAGCGTGGTGAACGTCGCAGCGTTTTGAGTAGACGCGGAGTTTGTTTCCGAGGAAGTGTAATTTTAGGCCTTACGTGCCTTTTTAGGCCTATTAGTGAGGTGGGTTTGTGGGTTTTTGGGATCTCGGGTCCTAGGATGAGGTTGTGGTAGTTGAGATAGCTCTGGACCTATTCGTAATTTTCTTCCCTTAACCAAGGATAGTGGCGTTAAGGTGGGATCAGGATATGTACCTTTTCTGAATGAAGACGTAATTCTTGAATTTGGAGAGGAAGATTGTAGCTTGATGTACCCGCTTTTGTGAAGGCTTGGGAAGCCGTGCTCTCGTGACGACATAATTCCATAGTTCGATTCCATAGTTGTATTGTTGCACGGCACTCTGCCTTATTGAATTGGAGCCACTGAGGAGGTGAATTCACAGCGTTGAGCCATGGGATCATAATTATCGCAATGTATCAGCATTCCATGGCGTTTGCGGCTGCAACGTCACCTGGTGTTGCGGGGCCAATAAGGTGCAATAGTGAAACCTCTCAAAGTAACAGGAAAGAGATCAAATCTTTCCTAATTCAATGTTCTATTTCTCAAATCCAGGTTAGAGGTCTTCGACATTCACCCATTCTACATTCCCTGTTCTTGGTTGTCTCTCTTGTTGGACTCGCATTTGAGGACTCTGCAGTTTCGAGTATATCAATTGCTACATAGTTCGGTGCGGTAACGGTCTTAGGATTAATGCTTTTTGATGCACATGGCGCAATATGCAGTTACTGAGGTTAAAGATGCGTTGTCTAAATGGTTTAGCTCCCGGAATAGATGTTGCTTCTGGTCGCATTACTCATGTCCTAAAGGTGGACTACAGAAATTGGCACGTGATTTTAACTAAATTCGTTGCCCTCTGGAATCCAGCTGAAGCACCGCAGAAGTGTTACTCCATACTTGCAATGTTGCCCCCTCTTTGCTGGACGTATGCATAGCAACATTGCACAGCGCAGGGGGAAATATGGAAGATTTGTGGTTGCATCCTATGCTAAGGACATTCTCTTTAGTAAGCGATCGTCATCAGCACCTCAAGTTGGGATTGCTGAGCTGACTGGTATTTTGGGAATCCCAACATGCCCACAAGGTAATTCAGGGTCTGGTAATTTTGTTGTTCTCTAACAGCAGTTGTGCGTGGCTATTTGTTGATCATAGATCTTTTCGGCCTTCTGCACCGCTGCAATTTTCTCCAAATGGAAATCCTTACGATGTACAGTTGTTTGTATAGGACCCTCACGATTCACAAATTTAGAGTCACTGAGGTGGGCCGCTGCAATTCTCAGATCTGAGGTATCAGAGAGAGGATCAAGTGTGAGGACATACGCCGGACGTAACAAGAAGTGGCGCAATCTAGACAAAAAAGGACGTTTAGAAGGAAACAGCCGAACTAGAGGCAATGGCAATGCCAACCCTGGAAAGTCCAAATCAACGCAGAGTGGTGACACTGACGACGGAACCGAGAATGCTTCTAGGGTTAAACCCAAGAAAGGTCCAAAGCCCAAAGAGCGAGTTTCTTGGGCTGGTCAGGACATGCTGTTGCTCAACACTAACGAGAGGTTCAAAGTTGGGAAAGAGGTCACACCTTGGGCGTCAGTTCCAGGTGAAAGGATGCCGGATGACTATTACAAGTACGGGCCTTTCGGTCCTCATGCTTGGAAGGGAGTTTGCGTTGGAACTCCTAAGCAAGGTACACTTTGCGACCAGCTCGTTGTTTTCTTCTCTAGCGTAAGAGACGAAGAAGAGCATGAACTGGGAGACATTCAAGATGCCATGGTAGGGTATGGGAAACGGGTTGATCAAATGGACGCCAGCGTTGGGATACAGTATTACTTCGTATTTGTGCGTCAGGTTCAAAAGCTGAAGGATTTGCCACCATGGGAGGAATGGACATTGGTTGCGCAAGTCGCTATTGAATCTGGAGAAGTTCTGGATAAATGGACACTGGGATTTGGTCTTCACCCTAAACTTCGAAAAAACCTCACAGAATGTGTGGCATGGTATCGTCCCGATCTTATCTATGTCAAAAGGCCTGCGTACCAAGTAAGATTTGAGCCGCAGAATGAGTTTTTGGAAGGGCTGCTTACATTACTGAATCCAGATGGTGAGGACTTCTATTTTCAGAGGCTTTGCAAGTTGCTTGGAGTGGATGTTAGCGAGACGGCAGATCAAGCGAGTGTCGCATTTGATGGCTTGAGTGAGAACAGGAAACTTGAGTGCGTAGAACATGTGCTTACCGCCAATTCAGTTACGCTCCTGGGCCCTTACACTATCCAAGCTATGAAGCAAGATCAGCAGCGAGGGGCAGTGGGTTTCGACGAGAGCATTGGCCGCGAGGAGGGGGAAAGTAATGAAACTGACGAAGCTGAAGGAGATTGGAGCGAGGATGCAGACGAGGATGAGGACGAGGAAGATGACGAGGAAGAATTTGAATCTGAAATGGAAGCATTTAATGGCCAGTTCGGAGAAGATTTCGACTTCGATGAACAAGGTGATAGTCAATCGGATGGGAATGAGTGGGAAAAAGAAGAGGCTAAGTCATTAGCTGCTATGCAAAGATCTTCTGATGCAGAGACTGTCGATGTGGACGATGAGGGTTGGGATGAACAAGCTGTTAAGGCCTACTCTGAGATTGGCATTACGACCCAGAAAGGACATCGAATAGCCGAGGAAACGGCAACACAAAAGGATGATGAGACCTTTCTTGATGCAGCTGTTCGACCTTTCAATTTCTCGAATCTGATCCAGGAGATATTTATCATCCGGGAAGCGTTACTTGAGTATCCAGAATTACGGCACTGAACCCAAGGAGAACTTGAACAGCTGCGACTTGCTGCAAGCTATACCTGCCTGCATTGTCCAAGCCCACGAGTGCATCCATACTCCCATTTTGAAGAAAAACACTGATCGAGTAAGCTTTCATTGTAATTTGATTCTTGATTGATTTCATGACGAGCTGTAGATTTAATAGATCAAGGATAAAAGCCTTCTAAATCTTGAGCAGACATATTAGTGTAGAAGCTCACTGTCGATTCTATGATCAATGTTACATCATCAAATTGGATAGCTGCCCAGACCAGGGCTGGAGATTGCTGATTTAGACTCTTTCTTCTGCACTTACTGACATGGGTGCAATTGGTTTCACACAAGTTCGCTGTTCCATGGTAGTACTGCCATAAAATACACCTCCAGACGTCCATAAAATTTCCTTAAATTGTGATGCCTCATGTTGCAGTGAGCGAGTCCAATCGAATGAATTTTCAAGACATGTGGCTCAGCAGTGAGTCCACCGAAGGATTTATAAAGAAATAGTGGATTGCATACTCAGTATCAGTAATGCATCCAGATGGCATTTCTTTTATCATGAACGCTTCACCATGGCGGTACATTAGTTCCTGACCTGAAAGAAGTTACACTCACCGAATGCACTAAACACAGAATGTTCTGTCTGTCTAATATCGACCAGATGAAGGTGGTTGTCTCTGCGCAATCCATCTTCGTGTCAGTTTCAAACGTTTTTTACATAACTAAACGAGTAATTTTCAATGACTAAGGACAAGAGAGATTTTTATAAAATGTTTTCTTATATTTTCTTAAAGTGGATTAATATCTAAAATATTTATGTTTGGATTTAGGCAACTTGCTGTGAAATACAAGTTGAATTAAAATAAAATAAGATTAGCCACTAGAAAAGATGTGAAGAATATTAAAAGTAGTATCTTGAGTTTGCACTTCCATGCCAAAAATGTAGAATATTTTCGTGATGACATAAGTTGAGAAGTTACAACATTGTGTTAAGGATTTTTAACATTTTAAATTCTAAAAAAATGATCAAATTTCAACCATAAAAAATAATCTTACATTTCAAACCAAAAATAACTGAACAAAATCTTAAATCTAACTTGATTTTTTTATTATATATATATTTAAAAAAAACTGATAAAATAAAAATATATGCTACAGGCGTATTGTACACAATTAAAGTTAAATCTTGTATCTAACACTAATGAACATGAATTCTACTCACTTTAACCAAGCTTTTTTGTATTTTGCATTGTTGTAGCTTTATTAATTGATTATGGATCAGATTGGAGATTCCAAACATTGTTCCATACTTAAGAGCCTGCTACTTGTTGGCAGGTAGGATGAAAAAAAAGAAAACTCTTTGCTTAAATCCTTAAATGGATGGAATTTAGCAAGAATATCTATCCACACATGACTCCCCTTGATGCAAGTGTAAGAAGTGTGGTTATACATTTATATGTATGGAAGTTGAAGTGGAGCTAATAAATGTATTGTCAACACTTTGAGCTGGAAAACACTTAAAATCTGTCAGCTACAACATATCCATATCTTTATGATATTTCTACTAAATTTTACTTTCAACCAACCTATGTTGACTTTCGCACAATGAAGATTAATTGTAAGTTTTGATACACAGGTAATACATCAGTAAATAACCAGAGTGTCCACATACGGAATCTATGGAGTAATTATATAATGAATGTAGTGAATTTACAAAGTATAACAATAAGACATAAATTGAAAGGTGGACCAACTGAAAAAAGTCTTCAAGCGTAAGATTATTTATTCAAAAGTCCTACATCCAGTACAAAGTGAAGGAGAAATACCAATTCTCACTAATTTAGATCAGTTTTGAAGTATGTCGGACTATGCTTCTGCTTTTTTTTTTGAAGAAAAAGTAGATCCACGACTTTTTGAACATGTAATAGTAAAAATTTAACCAAAATGATTAAAATTTCAACTTTCACTCTGTTAACAAGCCTCTACTAGTTGCCTTAATACGAAAAAGGTTGAGAAGGTACTTCGAAGACTCTTCAGAAGACCAAAACAAAAAAAAACACAAAAAAACAAAAACAAAATACAAAATGCACGAGCCTTGTTCCACAGCTTTCGCAACGCAAATCTCCACAAAAGCCTGATTAGATCAATAGCTCATCTAGACTTGCTAAGGCCTGTGGTCACCCATCACTATCTCTTTCAGCTGCATGGCACTGTGCAATTGCAGAAAAACGTCGAACATGAAATGAAGTTGATTCCCTCTCTGCCTTAAGTAGTTCTATGCCAAACGATTCTCTCTACTAGTTGCCTTAATACGAAACTCTCTGAGATGACGATTATAATCACCAACAAGTGATACCAGTAAGGAATACTGAACACAATCTTCTCCGCGAGTAAACAGAGACATAAAGTTTCGCTCAAGCGCAAATCCACCAGACTTCATGTAATTAATTCAGAGTCAAAAACGAAGTGTTGATGAGAGTGCTCCGCCTCTTGTATACTGCAACCTTGCGCAAAGAGCGAAGCGAAATGTATATTTGGAGGGAGCACCTATACCTGAAAACGGCAACTCCAAAGTTCTTAGATGACACAAATTTCAATTAGTAGACTTAGAAACAGGATTTTGTGCCATTAAAAAGAAGCCCGGGACGGCACGACTGCAAGCTCTTCAGGTCGCCTAGAAAGGCAGATATAGGGTGTTAAGGACTGTATCAGTTCCTCTAGGGCCACTTAATTCCAAACATTGGATTGAAGTGAATGCACAACTAAGAAGCTGAAGGTTTACTTGTTCAAGCGCGGAAACATGAAACTACGCTACAAATCTACTTAGGAAATAGCAAACAGCATTCAACATTAAAAGTTCACCGCGGAATGCAAATTCATCTGAATGAAAGAGGGCACAATGCTTCACTGATAAAGTAGTAAAGTTTTCTCCAACGCAACTTACTTGAGTGTTGAGCATATATACTCGAACCTCTTCGAAAGCCTAGAAATTCAAGTTCTTAAGCCCATCGACACGGCAGTTCGTATTTCCATCTACCTGTACAGACACGCGTAAACACATGAATCTAGTACGATTACATCCAATTAAGCCACCCTCATTCCATTACGAAAAATTAAACCCGGCAGTCCTGGACTTTCGAAAGGAATCACCAAGCTGCAAGAAAACGACAATGAGATAGACAACATTACACAAATGGTGCGACTGTGGAATGAGACACGGATAAACGGTAGATCAGCTGATATTACAGGAAAAAGATTTAAGACCCATATGTCGTGCTATCATCTACTATTGGGTGTAAGGCAATGCAAGAACTCGAAAAGACCTGTGAATAAATATATTGGGCTCTGCCAACTGAGCTAAGATGGCACTGAGGACCCCTTGACGATGAAAAGTATGAGTCGACAGGACAACGTTCTTCTATATAGCTTTCTGGATCGTTGATCTTCTTATCGAGCCTGAGCAGGGAGGATCATTTCTTCAAAAATGAAGACTCTACACGTCTGTATCACTCCATATCAATAAGTCCAAGAATCTCATCTGCGAGAAGGTCTTCTTCGGTAGGAGCACCGACTTCTTCCTTCTGCACAATCTCGGAGGCATTTTGGCGCTTGCGCTTGGGTTGTGAAGGTTGCATTCTAAGAGGAGGAATCTCCAGTCCGTTAATAGAAAGCAGATCCTTCTTTTGAATTTCCCAATCGTCCGCTGTTTCCCTTAGTTCCTCAGCGAAGTTAGGAACAGCACCCGTCCTATCATCTCCCAACACCCCAAGCCCTGTGAAGACCTGCTGCTTGGCTTCAGCGTAGTCCCGCACGAGGGACATTACCGAGTCCAACGACAAATCCTCAGTCAAGCTACGGTAAATATGTTCTTGCAAAGGAACATTCGCCAACAACTTGAAACGGGCGTGCTTCAGGCGAGCAGCAGCCTGATTAGCCAGCTTCTCACAAGCGTCAGCGATACTTTTCTGATCAACAGACACGCACCCGAACAGGAAGGCTTCTTTACGCAACATCGTGCGCAAGACCTTCAGAGCCTCTGCGTGCTCAATGCGCCGCAACTCCTTGACCAACCCATGCAACCTCTCCAGGTCTTCCAAAGACAAATAAATCAGGTAAAACGGCTCCACATACTGAGTCTCGTACAAGCAATAAAGCACAAACAATCCACCGAGCTTCCACGACAAAGTCCTTTCCACACACTTTACGTGCCCAAGCGCAGACGAGTACAACGACTGCATGAAAAACGCCTGCGTAGTATCCTTCGGACACGCTTCGTGTATGAAGGAGAAGCCGCGAATCTTCCAAAGCTCCTTCAATTGCCGCAAAGACATTTCTTCCGCTTGCGCAAATGCTTCCACAAGTTCGTGTATATCCCGACCCGCTGCCGACAGGTCCATGCTGCTCCACGCGCTCAGAGCAGAGCGAAACGATCAACCAGACCGAGAAATCACAGCGAGGGAGTTGAAGGACCTGCAAAACCCTAAACTCAGAATCCCGACTGCCTAAAATAAAAAAAAAGAAAAAAAAGAAAAAAAGGCAACTCATCGTGATTGCGCTGTCACATCGCCGGCTCCATAACCCGAACACCTTCGAATAGACCAGTCTACAATGGTTGCACGATTTCGCAGCTAAGCCGATTCGAAGGGACACAGCCTCGCAGATTAGGATTTCGCCAGGACCAGAGAAAACGTCGAAACCCTAATTTCTCGGGAGCTCCATGAGACAGAGCCTTCAAGGTAAAGTGCCACGAGGGCAGTATAAGGGTGTATATGCTGAGGTGGAAAAGGATAACAGCTGTTCTCCCTCGCCACGTCATCAGCGCCAAAGGCTTTAAAAAGTTGGTCTCCATCTGTTCACATGAACTGCTTATTTATCATAATATTCACCGTAAGTTTTACATTTCTTCTTTTATATTTTTGATATGTGAAAATGTCTTGAAAGTATGATATAGTTGTTAATGAAGATATATCCAAAATATTTTTTAAAATCTTTGTACCAATCTTTGTTATTGACTTAAGAACATGATAGCTTTAATTTATCATCTATGAAATTATGAGACTATCTTGTATATAATATGATATTTGATATGTTTTATTTTTATAAAAACTTATGTTTTAAAAAACTTTGCTTATAAGTTATATATACATATACATATATATATGAATTTGGATATGTATGTGTGTAGGCATGCATATATATATAATAAATAAGCAATGATTTTATAATATAAATTTTATATGGATTTAGTTCCTAGAGCTATGGTGTATCCATCCATAGTTATTAGAAGAAAGCCACACAATCAGCCTAGTTCTTAGCAAAAGAATATATTAATGACTATTTTAAAATCTAATACATAATGGTTTTAGTTTCAAAAAACCATCTATCATTTGCAATTTTTTTTAATGCCATTAGAAGTAGTCAATTTAAGATGGCAATAATATGGTTAACTAATAGATAATAGTTTCAATTATCATATAGCCAATATGTGGGAGAATAGAAGAAGTAATACAATCTATATTGGATTGTGTAATAAAGTGTGATTCTTAACAAAATACTCAACAAGTATTGCAAGTGTTGTAAATAGTCTATATTGTAAAACTAATGTTTCAATTAGAGACAACCAAGCAATCAAACAAACTTACTAAAAAGTAAGAGGCCTACGAGTCCATATAAGTATAATTAACCATTATTATAATTATATTCTTAGAAGTAAGTCATCCACTTTGCTTACTCAACAATACTCTTGTTGCTAAACTTGGTGCAACTCTATCTATAGTTGTAAGTTGATCTTTCTTTGAGGACAATCTCTAAATAGATTTTGCAACATATAGCATTGTGCACTTTTTGGTGATAATTGATCAAAACAATCATAGATTTTAAATCAAGCATAACTATATCATTTTACTAAGTACTAGATTATTGAGGTCCCTATCACCTAGGCATAATAAGAACATAAGAGTTGAATGCTTTCTTGCACAAGTTGAGATATATTTAATTTTATTTTATATCTTCTTCTTCTACTAATTACATGTCCCTCAATACCTTTGGATTCACATTTGCGTTGATTTAAACTTTAAATATATATATATATATATATATATATATCATAGTTTTAAATATGTTAAATAAATATCATATTTATTTAATTATATGTATAGTAAAAAATAATATTTTTTATATAAATAGAAGTAAATAAATATATAACTAGATTTTTTTTTATGACTCATATCTATTTACAAACCTTAGATTTAAAATGGATATACAAGTATCTTCAAATGTGCTATATAGTCATATAGATGTCTTAAAGATTTTATTGGATAAACAAATCTACAACACAACAATGACACAACTTTGATACTCGTCTCAAGAGTCTTCCAGTGCTCAAATAATTTCTATGTGGACTTCTACTTGACTATAATATCAAAAAAAATCATAGACAATATTAATTGTTAATTCATTTTCTTTCAAATATTTCAATTTTTTTCTTCTTAATTTGAATGTCTCTTTGTATTTGCAAATAGGGAATAAAAAATAAAAAACATACTCCCAGTGATTTATTTTATTCAAAATTATACAACTTTTTTCTTATTTTCTAAACATGTTTAAAAAGATTCATGTCCAAGACAACATACGTATGAAAATTATAAGTCTTGAAAATTATAAGTTTTGAATTATTCAAAAATGTAAATATATAAATATATATATATATATATATATATATATATATATATATAAAGTATCTAAAATTATTAATTTCGAAGATAAAATTTAAATACATATATATAAAAGTTTAAAAAATATATATGTATATAATTTAAAAAAATATATATGTATATAATTTAAAAAAATATATATGTATATAATTTAAAAAAATATATATGTATATAATTTTAAAAAATATATATGTATATAATTTTAAAAAATATATATGTATATAATCTTAAAAAATATATATGTCTATAATTTTAAAAAATATATATGTCTATAATTTTAAAAAATATATATGTCTATAATTTTAAAAAATATATATGTCTATAATTTTAAAAAATATATATGTCTATAATTTTAAAAAATATATATGTCTATAATTTTAAAAAATATATATGTCTATAATTTTAAAAAATATATATATGTCTATAATTTTAAAAAATTTATATGTCTATAATTTATAAAAATATATATGTCTATAATTTCAAAAAATATTTATGTCTATTATTTTAAAAAGTATATATGTCTAATATTTTAAAAAATATATATGTGTATAATTTTAAAAAAATATATATGTGTATAATTTAAAAAAATATATATGTACATAATTTTAAAAAATAAATATGTATATAATCTTAAAAAATATATATGTATATAATTTAAAAAAATATATATGTACATAATTTTAAAAAATATATATGTATATAATTTTAAAAAATATATATGCCTATAATTTTAAAAAATATATATGTATATAATTTTAAAAAATATATATGTATATAATTTAAAAAAATATATATGTATATAATTTAAAAAAATATATATGTATATAATTTTAAAAAATATATATGTATATACTTTTAAAAAATATATATGTATATAATTTAAAAATATATATATGTATATAATCTTAAAAAATATATATGTCTATAATTTTAAAAAATATATATGTCTATAATTTTAAAAAATATATATGTCTATAATTTTAAAAAATATATATGTCTATAATTTTAAAAAATATATATGTCTATAATTTCAAAAAATATATATGTCTATAATTTTAAAAAATATATATGTCTATAATTTATAAAAATATATATGTCTATAATTTCAAAAAATATTTATGTCTATTATTTTAAAAAGTATATATGTCTAATATTTTAAAAAATATATATGTGTATAATTTTAAAAAAATATACATGTGTATAATTTAAAAAAATATATATGTACATAATTTTAAAAAATAAATATGTATATAATCTTAAAAAATATATATGTATATAATTTAAAAAAATATATATGTACATAATTTTAAAAAATATATATGTACATAATTTTAAAAAATATATATGCCTATAATTTTAAAAAATATATATGCCTATAATTTTAAAAAATATATATGCCTATAATTTTAAAAAATATATATGTATATAATTTTAAAAACTAAATATCTATATAATTTAAAAAAATATATATTTATATAATACTAAAAAATATATATGTATATAATATTAAAAAATATATATGTATATAATATTAAAAAATATATATGTATATAATTTAAAAATATATATATGTATATAATCTTAAAAAATATATATGTCTATAATTTTAAAAAATATATATGTCTATAATTTTAAGAAATATATATGTCTATAATTTTAAAAAATATATATGTCTATAATTTTAAAAAATATATATGTCTATAATTTTAAAAAATATATATGTCTATAATTTTAAAAAATAAATATGTCTATAATTTTAAAAAATATATATGTCTATAATTTTAAAAAATATATATGTACATAATTTTAAAAAATAAATATGTATATAATTAAAAAGTATATATATATCTATTATTTATAAAAGATATATATGTCTATTATTTTAAAAAATATATATGTCTATAATTTTAAAAATATATATGTCTATACTTTTAAAAGAATAAGATGTCTATACTTTTAAAAAATATAAATGTCTATAATTTAAAAAAATAGATATGTCTATAATTTTAAAAAATATTTATGTCTAGAACTTTAAAAAATATATATGTCTATAATTTTAAAATATTTTTATATATAATTGTTTTAAATATGTATATATATATATATATATATATCAATTTATTAATTTTACTTTTTTATACTTCATGTTGATAAATAGTAGTTCAATTTTATATTCTTATAATATAATTGACATGATATGATTAATGTCGAAATGATTAATCATGAAATGACATGATATGATTGTAGTGCCCATTAAAGCAAGTTTTTACTAGTGTTTATATATGAATATATATAAATATATATATCATATTTTAAATATAAGTTTTTTTCAAATCATAATTGTAGTAAAAATATCAAATATATCGAAGTCTTATTGACATTACTATATTTATATATATTTATATTTATATATTTATTTTTTTGTGGAAATAGGAATTAAAATCATTTGTAATATAGATATTTATGAAATACTTTAATAACATTAGTAATAATCCTTTGATTCTTTTTTTATTAATAAAAAATTGACATCATTAATTATCAGGATTTTCTTATAAGATTTTTTAATTTATAAAAAATAGTGTTAGAGATTTTTAACTTTTATTTTTTTTGCCTAGAAATTGATAAAAATTTATTTCCCGTCAAGAATAGATATTCAAATATAATAATCTTTTCAGAATTTGTAAATTTTGATAATCATTTTTAAATATACATTTCTTTTGAGTTAAAAATATTAAATATGATAGGATTATATTAATTTTTTACTATTAAATACTTGTGTGTAAATATTAACTCAAAATTTTAAATATATAATAACTTTCTTCTATAAATTTTTGGTTATTTCGAATTAAATTTACTTTTGCAATTAAGGTTTAAAATAAATATTTATTTCATTTGTAATTTTCATTAAATTACATTAAATATCTTACATGGATTAAATAAAATTTTATATATATATATATATATATATATATATATATATATGTAATTAAGAATATTTTCTTTATTATTTATT